ACGAAAATAAATTATTTTTTAGAAGTCCAAAACTTAAACGTCAAAGTGGAAAAAAATTAAGAAGAAAAGTCAAAAAAAAAAAAAAAACAAAAAACAAAAAAAAAATTTTTTTGCCAGAAGCATTAGTGGGAAAGCATTTTCACCAAAATTGAGGCAAATAGGCGCGTGGGTGGGTGGGGGGGGAAATGTTTTCTTGGCAAAATTTTTCCTATCAAACACCTACTTTGCATGGAAATTAAAAATATTTTCCTACTTCTAGGGAAAAGAATGGCTATCAAACATGGCATTTTTGAACCCGTTTGATTTTATTAAAGTGCTTCTTCTGATTAGAAGAGTTTTTAGTGGAAGTAGGTCTAATGTGAATTTCTCTAAAAACACTTTGTAAATAGAAAAAAAAATTTAAGGTAGATTCCTCCAAAAGCTCTTCTACAAAAAGCAAAAGCTATGCCGAATGGCCTTTAGACTCATGTCCCTTGTTAGATAGACACTAAGAATACATGCTCGTTCCTACTTGAGATGTTCAATCTGATCGTATTTTGTATGGAAGACTCTGGAAATTACATCATGCCTCTGTTAGTAAATTCATGAACTTTATACGACCCTCTCTCGATTGGCTTGGTCTATAATCCAATTAAATGCAAGTTCACTAATAATCTGCATCCATAGGAGAAGTTGTGCACCCATTTTGGTGAGAGGTTTTGGAGAGATTTGAATCTAGCTGCTAGTCTAAGAAATCAATCATACGAACACCTTTGATTTTTAAAAGACGTAGATCAATAAAATGGTTGCGCCTTTATTAGGTTACTGCAAGCATAAATCAAAATTCACCATTGTGGGATGGCTTGGGTAGACCTATCTTGCCTGATGAATAGTTTGAATACATTGATGGAACAAACGAGCTTTGTCAAGCATCTGAGAGGCAGTTCCCAACATGCTTAGACCTCGCCCTACACAATTTACCATGAATGCAACAATACCATAGATTCAATGTTCCTCCAGAACTAGAATAAGTTGAACGTTTGATGCACCATTGAGTTTGTTCCATTTCACTATCCAATAATATTCAATACTTTGTCCCAAACATGGACTTAACTTACACCATTGTTTATTATTTATAGATGATTTTGTCTTACTACTGTTAGCACATCATGAACTCCCCTAAAGTTTACTGAAGTAAGTTATTTTTTGTGCACGCAGTGCTTGATATTTTGGAGGCTTATGGCCTAAAGTTGCTGGAGAAGATGGATTAGTTCAGAAACGTAAAATCTTACGTGCCCTTCGTATTTTTAGCTGGCACATTGTAAATTATGAACACTTATTATCAGTACCAATTTGCTAATGAGTCGAAATTTATGGTTAAGTACGTTAAGTTTTAGACTAATGGAAGTGGTGTGGGTCTCATTTGAATTGATGATTGAAATTAGATTTGGCTGCTGAAAAGATTGGCACCCATCTAAGAAGAGATCATATTGAGAAACTCCAATGACCCCAACTTATCATGGCTTGCTAAAGAGTGTAAGTATGCAAAGATTTACATAATTACACTAACTAAAGGTGAAAGGTTGAAAAATACTGCATTCCCCCAAATAGGAGAAAAGTAGTTCACATTATTTGCAGAAATAGAAAACTATAGTGCATGCTAAACTGACCATTATTTCCGGCACAAGCAATTCTTCACAATGTCAGCACAGAAATAATTAAAAGAATTCGATGATTATGGCTCTCTTCAGTTCAAAATATGCTCAAGTTTGTTTAGAAACATAGTCAGAGATGTGCACGAGTCAAAAAATCCGATGCTTTAAAAGGGGATGTATAAGCATTCGTAACCCCAGTTGTTGAGTGCAGCCTTAAGGGCATAGACCTCGATCGAAACTCTAAAAACTTAAATCCACATCGATGTTGTTCGTGAGATGCCAATTACCAGTCTCACGTAACAGTAAAATAATCAATCATTCATTACAAAAAGACCATTCTCTGAGTGAATATACAGAAGTATGCTATAATGATCTGGAGAATCTAGCCACTCTCATTCCCATTTTTGGGGGGAAAACGGACCATAATTCTTCTAAAATCTCTAATTTTTATTTATTTATTATTTTTTTTTTCACAGAACTACAAGCACATTCTCACTTTTTCGAACTTTGCCAGATTTCTCAAATCGGAGATTATGGTGATTGTTGAGGGGTTTTGAGTTTTATTATTATCACTAAAAGGGTAGATGTGAATGGATGATTTCGGTAAGAATGGAAATTTAAATGTCTGACAATAAAAATGTATTAAAAAATTATAAACATAAATTTTCTACTAATTTCGAGATAACGGTATTTTTCAATTCGCATTGAGCAAACTACTGAATTTTGATTTTATAAAACCAATATGAGCACGATATTTCTGGACAACCATAACAAGTAATTCATTCCAATCCTTCGTAAAAGCCATTTCCACGAATAAAGGACTGCAAAAGGTCAAAAAAATTATTCAAGTTTTCTATTGTCAATTTGTCACACCATAAACTAGTAAATGTCCACCTTTTTGAATCCAAGGTTTCACATAAATGAGAAATGATCTAATCGAGTAATATTTTCAAACGTTCTATGCTCCATTCGAGAAGAGGGATAGGCACGAATGTCAAAAAGTAAGGCTGGGAGTGGGTTGGATTGGTTTTGAGTCCAACTCAAACCTAACCCAACGTGTTTCGTTTGATAATAATTCAAACATAAACAATCCATTCACAGTTTAAACACAACCCAGTTCAAACGACCAAACTCGAGTTGATTTGGGTTGGGTTGATTGGTTTGGACTTAAGTCCAATTCAAGTTAGACAATATTTATATGGGCCCAATGATTGGGATCTTTTTCGTTGAATTATCCCAATTTTTTTTAAAGTCTGATATCATGTCAATTTGAACCAATTACAGTTAGATGAAAAATGGTGATTGGAAAGGTCTTAAATCGATTGAAGTTGGACCAATAGTACCATTTCAAGTCGATTAGAAAGGCTTAAGTGAAAAATCACGTCAAAAAATCGAGTCGAGAAGTCGATGCACGAGCATCAATGAGAGGCAGAAGAGACGTGAGATATATGAGAATTTTGATCGTTAGGTTTTTTATTTTAAGTACTAATTTTCTTTTTAATATTTTTTAATTTATTGGATTGGATTTGATTAGATTTTAATAGATAATCCGAAACCCAACTTAACCTAACCTAAAACTTGATTTCCTAACCCAAATCAAATCCAATTGAACTAAAAAAACCAATCCAAAGCCATTGGTTTGGATTGAGTTGACCGGTTTAATTGGTTAGAATTGATTTTTTTTTCCCAGCCTTACCAAAAAGGACTATGAAAGTCATGCAGACATTGAAAACTCCATATTATTTTCACTATGTCATTGATCTATTAGTTGCCTTAATTAAATGTCACATTCCACGGGTCAAATGACACGAGCTAATGTTTGGTAAAGTTCATAATTACTTATAAGTTTGTCGAACTTTCTTTTTATCCATAAATTTCGTAGGACCAACAATCTTTCTTTCCTTTTGAACCCAAATTTTGTCACGTATTATAAATGTTTTATTCATATATCAACATAAGATATGCATTAGTGCTTATTACATCATTCTCTTTCGATTATAATGTGTAAATCATTAAACCAACACTATAAATATTTATCCAATCTTCACGTAAATGAAAAGGTTGAAATTTACAAAATAAATTTGTTTAGTCGTTGCGAATCTTCTTTATTTAGCAGATTCCATTCCATTCCTAGTGCAATATTTGATTGACTGTGTTGTATATTAGGCAAACTTTTATGATTAATAATGTTATTTCTAGTGAATACTATCAAGAGTCGCTCTACGTGGTATATATATGATAATTTGTTATTTGATGCATTAGTGTTTTAATTTTTTACTTTCACATGCATCAAATAACAAAATATTACATTTATGTCATATATGAAGAATGCCGGTAGTTTTGACTGTGAATAGCGTCATTCAACTTTTATAGTATCGATCTCAAATTGTGTTTGGGCACCTTAATTTAAGGGTGGCAAAGGGCCGAGCTGAGTCGGCTCGGCCCTTACTCACACGAGCTGAGCTCGTGGCTCGTTAACAACTGCTCGGCTCGGCTCGGCCCATGAGTTCGTGACTCGTGGGCCGAGCCGAGCTTTAGCTCTTTTTTTTTTTTTTTTTNCCACAACCACACTAACACTCAAACCTACCATCACTGAGCCAAAGTTTGTAGATAAACCACAATAGCCATCTTCAAAAAATGAATCTCAGTATAAAGTACTAATTGTAAGCATAAAACTCATCACACTGATCATCTAAAAAAAACAGAGTAACAATAAAATTTTCTTACAAATCAAATTTTTATGTTTCAATCAATATTCATCTGCAAGGTTAAGGAAAGAACAATCAGACGAAGGCATTTGAAAACTATATTAATCCAGCCCACCATCACTGAGCAGATCTCACCTACCACAGGACCTAATCACCAGCGCCGCTCCAACCGTCGATCTGAGCGCACAGCAACACAGATCAACGTTGAGAGAGAAGCCGTACAGATCGGTGTTGCTTCGCCGCTACACGTGGAGATGAGCGTTGCCTATCGCAATGATTGGAAGAAGATGGCGATCTGGTATCAGTACTTGTGGGAGGAGGTGTATTGGCCGGTACAGCTCAGTCGTCGGTCGCTGGAGTTTCAACGGTTGCGGCGCAGAGGGGAAAGAAAGGAGAGAATGGGAGATGTAGAGAGAGAAAATGAGAATTGAAATTATTAGGGTTTGTAAATTGGGTGGGTAATAATTAATTTATAGATACCTGATTTATACATAATGAAACTTTAGCCCTGATTTTTGAATTGTTATATTTAAATTCCTGGAATTATGTAATTTCCTCATAATTCAAACATAAACAATCCATTCACAGTTTAAACACAACCCAGTTCAAACCGACCAAACTCGAGTTGATTTGGGTTGGGTTGATTGGTTTGGACTTAAGTCTAATTCAAGTTAGACAATATTTATATAGGCCCAATGATTGGGATCTTTTTCGTTGAATTTGAACAATTTTTTTTTTAAAGTTCGATACCATTTTAATTTGAACCAATTACAGTTAGATTAAAAATGGTGATTTGAAAGGCCTTAAATCAATTGAAGTTGGATCGATAGTACCATTTCAAGTCAATTAGAAAGGCCTAAGTGAAAAATCACATTAAAAAATCGAGTCGAAGTCGATGCACGAGCATCAATGAGAGGCAGAAGAGACGTGAGATAGATGAGAATTTTGATCATTAAGTTTTTGATTTTAAGTACTAATTTTCTTTTTAATATTTTTTAATTTATTGAGTTGGATTTGATTAGATTTTAATAGATAACCCGGAACCCAACTCAACCTATCAAACCCAATTGAACTAAAAAACCAATCCAAAGCCATTGGTTTGGATTGAGTTGACCAGTTTCATTGGTTAGAATTGATTTTTTTCCCAGCCTTACCAAAAAGGACTATGAAAGTCATGCAGACATTGAAAACTCCATATTATTTTCCCTATGTCATTGATCTATTAGTTGCCTTAATTAAATGTCACATTCCACGGGTCAAATGACACGAGCGAATGTTTGGTAAAGTTCATAATTACTTATAAGTTTGTCGAACTTTCTTTTTATCCATAAATTTCATACGACCCACAATCTTTCTTTCCTTTTGAACCCAAATTTGTCACGAATTATAAATGTTTTATTCATATATCAACATAAGATATGCATTAGTGCTTATTACTTCATTCTCTTTCGATTATAATGTGTAAATCATTAAACCAACACTATAAATATATATCCAATCTTCACGTAAATGAAAAGGTTGAAATTTACAAAATAAATTTGTTTAGTCGTTGCGAATCTTCTTTATTTAGCAGATTCCATTGCATTCCTAGTGCAATATTTGATTGACTGTGTTGTATAACTTGTCATTGTTGGTGAGGTTTAATTAGGCAAACTTTTATGATTAATAATGTTATTCATAGTGAATACTGTCAAGAGTCGCTCTACGTGGTATATATATGATAATTTGTTATTTGATACATTAGTGTTTTAATTTTTTATTGTCTCATGCATCAAATAACAAAATATTACATTTATGTTATATATGACGAATGCCGGTAGTTTTGACTGTGAATAGCGTTATTCAACTTTTATAGTATTGATCTCAAATTGTGTTTGGGCACCTTAATTTAAGGGTGGCAAAGGGCCGAGCTGAGTCGGCTCGGCCCTTACTCACACGAGCTAAGCTCGTGGCTTGTTAACAACTGCTCGGCTCGGCTCGGCTCGGCCCATGAGTTCGTGA